GTCGGCCTTAGAATTCTGGGTGTATGAGGATTCGTGGAACCAAAGAAAGTAGCTGAGCTTGAAACAACCCTCTTTGTCGTTTCCTATGATTAAAAGCCTTGCTTTCTTTACCGCAGTTTTGGGCACTCAAATAAGAATCAATGTCCATTAGCTCTCCTACACCGGAAACTGTTAGCAAGCGAGGACCACACAAAATAATCCACAAGGTTAGTAGCCAAAAAGGTATCGAGATCCTGCACTTCGCAAAGATATTGTTTTTGTACTTTCAAACTTTACCTGTTCGAAACAAAATAAAAATTACCCCACTGGACGAAAAAAAGGAACGCCGTTACTCTCTCCGTTCCATTAAAAATGTAACGCGTTCCCGTTCCAGTTCCAGCTATGCAAAATGGAACGGCGGCGTTCCTTCGTTCCTCCTAAAAGGAACGCGTTCCAGGAACGCCGTTCCTCGGAACGCCGTTCCGTACAACACTGCCAACCCCCCCCCCCCCCCCCCCCCCCCCCACCCCCCGGGCTTGTGGCACAGGAAGCGGTATTCAGTTGCTAAAATTCGAATCCAGTGTGATTGTGTATTCTTTTTGTTTTGTGTTTGACGAGTGTTTGCTCTTTGTCGCTGTAGTGTAACCAGATCCCCAGTCTTAGATTTAAATTGGCGTCGGCGTCATGATGATGTACAATCCGTCTAGAGTGGTTCTTGTGTGGACGGCACGCGATGCCGCAAAAAGGCATCGTTATAAACAATAGGTTGGCAATAGTAAAGAGCGGATGGATCGATGAATAGCTATACCTTTTGAATCGGGCGGCAACTCGCGCCACCTGGCCCAGGTTGCATCGAAGATGATGATGATGATTATGAGGATGTCGGTGCGTTGCAAACCTAGACGGAGTTTTCTGGGGGAAAAATACACCTCCTTCCCTCGTCGCAAAGGCCTTGACTTTCAAATGAATAAGCTACTAAAACCCTTCCTCTCGACATTCTTTCAGATTCTTTTCTGTTTCGACTTTCCAAAAGTAGAGCCCTGACCAAAAAAAAAAAAGAAAAGTATCAGGACGCCTCGACTCGCGGTTGTCAGCCGCGTGCTTGGGTGTCTCGTTTTAATTTTAGATCGGTCCCTCTCCCTAGGGAACATGCCGTGCTCCCTGGGAAGTCTTTCGACGGGCTTCGAGTGAGATCAGTTGCTGTCACGTCGACTCGGATATGAACGCGGTCACGAGACGGCAGAGTACACCAAGAGCAGCAAAAAGCAAAGGCCCGAAGCCAACTTTTGAGTGACACATTCCTGCGGTTGTGTTTTTTTGCTTTTAATGTCGTCGTTGTGCGCTTGTTCAGACTCGAGGGAACTTCCCTCCTGTGCTGGAGAATTAAGCAGCCGTCACTGAAAGAACCCGTTTGTGAGCTCAAGATTGAGTCGGGGTCGCCGAGCATGCCACTTTTGTTATGTATGCGAGCGGTGGGCGTTGCTTGTCGGGATCATTATTATCGCTCCCGGCCCACGAGATTTCGGCATGAGCTGAACGCCGAGAACGAATCGAGAGGCTCTCGTTTCATCTCGAATCCAGACGTAGCCCTGACGCTATACGAGTGTATGGAACTACTTGAGTCACTGGTTAGGTTTCCACAGTACAGAGACTCCCAAGCTCCGTGCCGTGGCGCTCCAATTCATCCATATTCGTGCCGCCATTTTGGAGCCTTGCGTAGTTCACTGTACGGTAACTTTGTACGCATAGCGCGCCGTTGAAATTGTTGACGGGTCTTTCGGGTAAGTGTGGGGCGCTGTGAATAGCCTGCTTAAATCCTTTACGACATCGTTTACATTGCAGTCTAGCTGCACTCGTGTAATCATTACTCACTGGTTCACGTTAAAGACTCCATGTTAAAAGTCATACCGCACTAATCGAATATCTCATATGGAGATGAGTCACCTCTCACTGTCTGAATACCCAGACAGACAAATAGTTCGCTCGACGAGGATGGTCTGTGCCGTTTTCCCGTTGAAGTGGCGTACTTTGTCGCTTAGAGCTTAGCCACCTGTTTCTGCCGTCGCATTGGCCGCTGGCATTTTTTTTTTACGTGTTTTGATAATTTAAGAGACCGTAGTATATATGAACGCAGCAGCATTACGTCGATTTATTTACAACTGGACAACAACAGGATAGAATAAAACATAGCCTAAAGCACTTGTAATAGCTTGACGATTGCTTTGGCCGGGTAGATGAAGCTTGCAGTGAAGTTCAGCAATGATTTCACCATGACGATTCTCAAGGTAATTAATTGGCAGTCGACGCAATTTCTGCAAATGGTTAATACAGCCAAATGGAACTGACGGCGAGTTACGAGAATGATTTGATATGAAGATGACTCTGTAAACAGGAAACACCAGCAAGATTCATCTCTTTCACTCGAGTCATTAAGTCATCGATACCGTACTGTCAAAATTTTATTAATGTTTTTTTTTTTTTTTGCCAGAAAACAGGAAAACAGTAATGTAATCAACAAAAAAAATTCAGATGTCAAACCCCTGAGTGCCCATTCACGCGAGAACGTTTGCTTAAATTGCGTTATGAGTCAGCCGGACATTCGTACTTGCAACTTTCGCATGCAAAGCTACTTCTTACATTGGTTTTTACCCTCCATGCGACGCTAAGCAAATCGAATAGAAAAAAAAAAAAAACTGCAGTCGGATTCTCATTTAAACGCAACCGTTCTTTCAAGCATTGTTCGCGCCGAACCAAAAAGGCTGCGAGGCGACGAGCAATACGCGGAGAAGTCCATGTGAAATACAGCCATCCCTTAAAGCTTGCTTTCTGCATGCATGCAGTAGGCTTGAAATTCTTTCGTTTGATAATGGCAGCATTGGCAAGCCAAGTATACTCGTCCCTTTCGCAATAGCGCTGTATAGCCTTACGAAAAGCGAAAGAGTCTTTCTTGCCGTTCTTTGACCGGCTTCTGCGTACGAAGGCGCAGCAAGCAGGCGCCGCGTGTGTCATGTGTGTCACAACGTGTGTCACAAGACGCGTGTCACAACGAGACCCGGAGCGTAGCAGCAGAAGCTGGCAAGCTCCAATATGGTGGCTCGTGGCGGCTACTCGAAACGGTGACAATGATACAGTGGCATAAAAAAATGAAACGTTTACAACTCCTTGTAATGCCGAATTAGAGCGCAGCTCATGAGGGGGAGGGGGAGGGGAGGGTATGCCCCTCCTTCTCTTTCTCCCATCCCCTCCTCCTCTCTTGCTCTCCTACCATTTAGCGGTAAATTTTCGCTACGTGTCCCACTAAATTGAGCGGAAAAAAATTACCTGCTAAATTTAACGGGAAACATTTTCCTCTAAATATGGTGGAGATATTTTTATGCTAATTTTAGAGGGGAACTTTCGCAGCTAAAATTAGCGTGAAAAATTTTCCGGTAAATTTAGCGGGGAATTTTTTCTGCTAAATTTAGCGGGGAAATTTTCCCGTTAAATTTGGTCGGGAATTTTTTCTGCTAAATTCAACACAGACATTTTTTCCGCTAAATTTAGCGGAAAATGTTTTACGCTAAATTTAGGGGGAAAGCTTCCCCTCCTCCGCCTCCCCCCCTTTCTGTCTCGTGACGTCACGTGTGACGTCATTATGGGAAACGTCCCATGATGCAACGCGCGGTTACGCCACCGCCGCTGGCACCGCCTATTGGGTAGCGGTGGAACCACTTGGCGGTCCCGTATATTTTCTATTTTTTTATCATCCTTTCTTTCTCGGCTCGAAAAACTTTTGTCCATGTTATAAACGACCATTTCT